TGTTCAGAGAGTGGGGCAAGTTAAGACTAGATAACAATGACATCTTGTACAGACTCACTTCTGCCCGGAAACAGCTAGTCCTGCCAGATCAGTTCAAAAAGACTGTACTTGAAGAGCTGCACAATAATATGGGCCATCAAGGTGTTGATCGCACAGTGTCTTTGATACGTGAACGCTTCTTTTGGCCACACATGCAGGCAGACATCGAGCATTATGTGACCAACGTTTGTTCCTGTGTAAAGCAGAAAAAGCCCAGCCATGAAACAAGAGCTCCTTTAACAAACATCGTAACTACGCAGCCCTTTGAGCTGGTGTGTATAGACTTTCTCCATCTTGAAAAATGCAAAGGCGGTTATGAATATATTCTAGTGATAACTGACCACTTCACATGTTTTGCCCAAGCCTATGCCACCACCTCAAAGTCAGGCCGGTTCTAGGACAACACCCTATCACCCAATGGGGAATGGTCAAGTTGAACGTATGAACAGGACATTGTTGCAAATGCTTAGAACGCTAACCGAAACACAAAAGTCAAACTGGAAGGAATCTATCAATAAGCTAATGTATGCATATAATTGCACACATTGTGAAGTCACTGGCTACTCCCCATTTTACCTACTGTTTGGACGGTCACCAAGGCTACCAGTAGATATGTTCTTTGGACTGTACTCAGAAACAGATTTTAGTGACCACAGAGACTACGTTGAAAAATGGAGAAAGGGCATGGAACAAGGATACTCTATAGCAAATGAGAATGCAAAGAAAGCTGCTGAAAAGGGCAAAAGACACTACGACACAAAAGTAAGGAGTTCTGTGTTACAACCTGGCGAGAGAGTTCTGGTCAAAAACCTGACACCTAGAGGAGGCCCAGGGAAACTGAGAGACTATTGGGAGGACACTGTTCACACAGTAGCCAGACAAATGGGGCCTGACCTCCCTATCTATGAGGTAAGACCGGAGAGAGGCAGAGGGCGCTCTAGAGTGCTTCACAGAAACTTGCTTATGTCATGTGACCACTTACCTTTTGAAAAAGTGCCTGAAAAAGATAATCGTACAAGACATGAACAGAAAAGACTGATAAACCTGTCGCTGTTGTGCCAGACTCTGATGATGAGGGCAGTTTTGATGAATACCGCTGTCATTACGCACCACCTCAACCTGTGTCCCAGCCATCAGAACAAGAACTTCTCACAGCAACGTCTCAGCTCGCAGCTTCAGTCCCTGCTCTTGCACCAACACCAGAGCCTCTTGCTGGAGACCATCTGGAGGCGCCTGACCCAGCTGTCGTGGAGACAACTGGTGAGGAGGCAGAGCCCACTGCAGGTGACATACCTGCCCTCCTCCACCTGTTGTACTCGAGAGACTTGAGGAGGAGACACCTCAGCGGCCACAGCGAGAGAGACACCCGCCAAGACGGATGACGTATGACCAACTGGGCACCCCATCTTGCTACAGTGTTCAGCCAGCACCGCAACTGCTTCCTGTGTACCCGGGCCTGGTTCCATGGTTTCCAGCTGTGCAGTCATACTGCACCCAGCCCATTGGTTTGTATGGACTCCAGCAAATGTAAGTTGACACTTTTTCACTGATGACTTGAGAACTGTACTTAAAGACTGTCATCAAGAAAAAGACATGAACTTTTTCCCATCTGTGGATTATAACCATAGACAATAGACTTTGTGAAGACTCACACATGGACTGGTTATAGACTTTGTCTTCAGTCACCAGTGATGGACTGTGGTGAAACAGGTGTTAAACCCACAGAATTGAGGACATTGGTTCACCGTACTGTTGATGTTGTTAGATTATAATATTATTTTATGCCATGTTAGACCCCTAATTAAAGATTGTGAATTATTATGTAGTTTTAGTTTGCATTATTCTCCTGAATTAGAAGAAGCTGATAACTATTACATTAGTTAAACTGATTTGCATTACATTAGACTGCTGATTTATTGTGGATGAATGATATTGTTTTATGATGTTATAAGAAATACTGTTCGCAGAAAGTCATTGCCTTATTTGTCTGATTAGAAGAGAACGGAACATGCTGGAGTTTTCTGCCCCATCTCAGCAGGAGCAGATAAACGGGGAGCCAAGGTCGTAGCTTAGGCGCTGTGTGAGAGAAAGCATGTGAATGTTTAGGCTTTTATGATAAGGTGGAGACACCAGAGGCTATAAGAGTTTGATCAATGCTCCACCATTTTGAGATCTGATGCTGTCTGCATACATTGTCCATCTCCCACGCGTGTGATCATTAAAATCATCGTTTGACTCAACCCTGCCAGACCAGTGTTGTTATTGTGGTTTTTTCTCTTGTCTCCATCCCCAATTTTGAACTCGTAACAATGTCCTGACTACAAGAGAATATAGACTGAAAAGCATCTTGTTGGTATGATGTCGGGACGACATTTATTTGAGTGGGGGAGAGTGTGACAGGTTGAAGGACTATTTTTTTTGCCTGTCCCATTTGGTTCTTTAGCCGTCAGAATTGTTGTCTGAAGACCAACAAGGAGACCCAATGGATTTACTTTGCCAAATGGATCATCGTGGCATTGCCTTATTGGTCCATTTGATCGACCTTTGTTTTTATTATTTATTAAATTTTATTTTCAGATGTTACAGACGGGACAGACATGAGTGAGGGATAGGAAAGGGAGAAAGAAAGAGGAAGGAAAAGAAAAACAGAAGGGGAGAGGGACAGTGAGAAAGGGGGGGAGAAAAAAAATCTCCTGGATCAGCTGTTGAGAGAAGAAGAGAAAACAAGCAAAAAACAAAACAAAAAAACAAACAAAGCAACATACTAAACACAACACCATCGCATCAATCTAGCTAAGTGTAAACAGCAGTAAATACTAAATATTCAATGTTGTTGTGCAGCACGCAGGACAGACAGCGCACAATGTGCTTTGAAGTAGCAGCCAAGAAAGGTGTAATTTAAGTCTACGAGCAGTGAACACCCGTGTGCACACCTGTGTGGATCAGCGTGCTTGTATTCAAATGGTTTCCACATGTAATGGTCTGCAAGGGGATGTAGCGAGCCATAGCCCGTCCCCCAGGGCATGAAGCAGGCCTGTGCTTCAAGGTTTCTGGTAGTTAGAATGACTCGGGGTGTTGATTCATTTAAACTACATAATCATCCTGCTGCAAGCAGGTTTCTGTAAGGCAGAGTAAATCGATTTGTTGATCATTATCATTGATTATTAAGTCACGTACTAACAGAGACTTGGAAGAGAGAGACCTAATGGTACTGTTTTACTCTTTGGTGCTGTTGAGGACGCTGTATTGTTCTTTCTTTGTGATTTTTGTGTTGTGTTTGGTTTGTTAAGTTTTGGTTTGTTTTTTGTCTTTTGTCTTTTGCAGACACACTCTCTAAGGGGTCTAGCGTTCTGTGGGGGGATACCAGTAGGAGAGAAACAACTTGGGGTCCTGGACCCAACTCTGGATAGTCACGTTTTGGGGGTTTATTAAATCTTAATTATCTATGAAGCCCACATAATTTTTTTTTGAAAGAAATTATTTATTTAAGCTGGTAAAAGGGCATTAAAATAATCTGAATGCAAAGAAGAAGAATGTTAGACATGTTCCTTAAATGGAATAAATAAGAATGAGACAAAGATTTTACATGAGAGTCGAAGCCCAGAGAAGAATCAATTGTTACACCAACATTTAGTAGTTAAACAAAAGAAGCAAGGAGCTGACTGATGTTGGATTTAGTTTACAGGGCTATAATATGTCTCAGTCCTTCTGAGAGTTAAACAAGGTAACTGCTAGAGAGCCAATCAGTACCTGAGTTAAGGAGTGAACTAGGGTGGAAGCCTATCCGGCTCATGAGGCTTAAAAAACATGTACAGCTGATGTCATCAGATAGAAATAATGAAAAAATTTTATTAAAAGATTGAATGATGCCACCTCTAGACTTGCTGTCCACATATGTGACATCACATTTGGGTTATTTAGACCAAAAATACTCAATTTTGCTCTCATGGGCCTGATATCCACTTACGAGGACATTATACTGCTACGTTCTATAAAAATTTTAAATGAATATCCTCATTTGTGGCTCTCATTTTTCTTAAAAACAAAAATAAGGTAAAAAAAATCCGGTAATTCTTTTTTTTTTACATTCATCGGGCCCCAATATGCCCAAATATCAAAGAGAAATTAAAAATGCATGTTGTGGAAGAGTTCGGGTCTTAGGAGGTTAAAGGAAGCAGAAAGCAGAAAGAAAATAATGGACTCAGAACTGAACCTTGTGGAACCCTACAGGTTAGAGATGCAGTGTGAGAGGTCCCACCAGTAGAAACAAACCCAGTCTAACAGGAGACACCAGGCAAACCTTTTAGCCCATTATGTAAGTTTTCTTGGTCAATCACACAAAATTCATTTTACTCATTACTGTAGTTAAGTCATTGAGTGCAATTCGAGCAAAGGGAATAAATGACTCACACTACTGAGGACCATCTTTCATGTCAATCGCTTTTTTCTCAGAATGGTGAGAAATGTGTTACAGTTATATCAGAAAGGAACAGCAGGAGGAGTTCAGTGCTCTAAAAAGTTGATCTTACATAGGTGACTACATCAACGAGTAACTGTAGGAGAGGAAAGGTAATGGATTGTTCTCAACTTCCCCAGAGATAATGGAGAGAGACTCCTGCATCACTCAGGCATTTGTGTCTGTCAGATTTACTGATTTAAACCAAATCCAAACATAAATATAACAAGTTTAATATTTGTTTTGTCCATAAGTTTAATTGGACATTTCTGTCATATAAGGCATGAAGCTATTGATTAAGTTTATTACAAATAATTGAAAATGTTCATCTGTGTAGTTTTCTGTCGTCATATTTCTAAAGGCATGTCTTCAGTGTATTGTAACATACTGTATTTAAAAAACAACTCAAAACCTCATCAGAAAAACTTTAAAAGTTTGAAAACTGAAACAAAGGGAAAAAAAGGTAAAAACAGTGAATAAGATTCTGATTAATTCAGCTACAGCTGATTCTGGGCAGCACTGCTGTTTGCAGTACTCACTGGTATTTATCACAGTATATTTATCCAGTACACTCAGTGTATACTTGAGTGGAGATCTCCTGTCGAATTGACTCAGCCATCTCCAGCAGGTCGGACACTTCAGCAGCTTTCTGGTTTCTTCTGTGAAGCAGCTGCTGGATCTTCTGCTCCATGTCTGCAGAAACACAAAGAAACTCATTTGAATTCATATCTATCTATCTATCTATCTATCTATCTATCTATCTATCTATCTATCTATCTATCTATCTATCTATCTATCTATCTATCTATCTATCTATCTATCTATCTATCTATCTATCTATCGTATGTATCAGGGTGTGGCAACCCTGGCACGCATGGTGATTTTCGTTTTATGGGCCGATGATTTTTTTTCTTTTTTGTAACGTATAAACAATGAAAGGTGGTGGCCGATGTGTAAAAATAACTCTAAATGTTTGGTGGTGGCTATCGTGGAGCTGCCACAGAGGCCAGCAGGTGGATGAGGGAAAGGTGAGACAGGAGGAGGAGGAGACCCGAGGCGGCCGCCGGTCCGAGTGTCAGGTGAACTGAACTTCAGAAGTTATGACCTGCAGTCTATCTGGGTCAGATAAAACCAAGTTTAGGTGAGTTTATTTTGTTGTGCTGACTTTACAGTCAGTTGCAATAACTCGTACTGCGTACTAGCTAGCATGACGGAGTTTCTATACAGCTGGGTGTGCTGTGATGTTACTGATATGAACTTTTTGTTAAAAAGGTTAGTTAGTAGAGTTGCCAACCGTCCCGTAAAAAGGCGGTCCCGTATTCAGAGAAAATATTACGCGTTTGTATTAAGGTGAAATGGAACAGTTTGTCCCGGACTTCAGCTAGAATGGAAAAAGAGACAAAGCTGGAGTTATTCTTCTTCTCTCATTCTCTCCTCTTCCTCTCCTGTTGCTACTTCAATCATGAAACTGATTAATGATCAGCTGATCAGCTTTTTTCTCTCGTTTGTTTATCTCCCACTTTGCGCCAGAAAGAGGACACCAGTGGATGTCGCGCTAAACATCAGCAGCACGTTTGAGCTTGATCAGCTGTTGTTAGAATGTATTTAATAATATCAGCTTGAGGTTCCAGGTGCAGACACAGACGAAGAGACAGTGCCTTTATTTGGGCTGATTAACGTGGCAAACAACAGAAAGCACTGAGACAAAACTAAACTAGAAGCTGAACTGGGAAAACTAAGAACTGACACTTAACTCAGACAGCAGGGAAGGCTAAGACAGGGTGACAATGATGCACATGACGGAGGCAACTGTGAACAGGTCTCTGTGCTGGAACAACAAGGAACTATGAAACGTATATACGTAAGTAACATGGACATGACCAGCACAGAGTCCTGAAACCTGGCGTAACATGGGGGAAGTTGAACAGACGACGCGGCGATGAACAAAGCAAGACTGAGGATTAATACACATGAGGTGATCAGGAGAAGTGGAGACACATGAGAACACAGCTGACTAGAAGGAAACATAATGACAATACAGGGGAGAGTAACACTAACTACAATGAACAAAGAACACCATACTCTTTCAAAATAAAACAGGAAACACAGAGACATAGACATGGAGATAGAACATGAATTAACCTAACCAGAGACATGAAAACATGACAGGTAGACACACGACCAGGGAAGATGACAAAAGGGACTAAAACCAAGGACTAAACTGCAAACTAGAAAACAACTAGATGCGTTAAACTACACATGTGGATACAAAAATATGCATTAGAACTTAAACCCTGGGCCTCATGGCCTAGTACCATGACACAGCTGATGTTTGCTGGAGCCACAGCTGTAAAGCTGCTGGTCATGATGTCGGTTTGGATATGTGGTGAGAGGGAACATGAGATGAAACCAGGAGATGTCCTTACTGATCATCAGAGCTGTGATGGAGAAACAGGTTACCTTTTAGGTGACATGATGAGTTGAAGTTATGAAACTGTTTCTGAGAGACAAATAACACCAGGATGCTTTTCTAAGCAGCTGACAGCTGGTGACTGTGCAGGGGCGGGTCTAGTAAAGTGTTGCCAGGGGGCAGGTAGGGCATTAACAGTCTCTCACAGAACAGACTGTGAGAGACTGTTCCAGGGAAAGTAATACAAAAAACACGAGACTAGACAAGGACATAAGAGCTAAGCAGGGAAGATAAGAGAGAGAGGAGAGGAGAAAAGTGCGACCGCCTTCGCCAAGAGCCAAACGAGAAACCATAGTCTTTTGCATGTTTCTTTAACACCGTTGTGTCTGCACTGTCTTGTGCCTGTATCCTTCTGTCTGGTGTTGCACTGTCTTTGTTTTTTTTTCAATTTTTTACATTTAAATAATATCACTCAGTCTTCCTATTTTCATCTTCATATTATTAACCGCCTTCGTCCCTCACTCACTCCAAACAGTACCGCCATATTTGTCAATGCTCTTGTCACATCTCTTTTAGATTACTGTAATTCTCTTCTCTGTGGTCTACCTCATAAATCCCTCCATGAATTGCACTTAGTTCAAAATTACAGCTGCTCGTATTGTATCCAGAAATAGATGCACTGAACATATAACAGCTGTTTTTAAACAGCTCCATTGGTTTCCAGTTCACCTCTGTGCCAATTTCAAGATCCTGCTTCATACTTTCAAAGTGCTTCATAACCTCGCTCCTCCATATTTATCTGATCTTGTCCTTCAATAGGGCTTTGGAGCAATCTCTTTGCATCCAGACGCAACCTGTCTCTATACCGTCCTTTTTCTCTTGAGCTGTTTTTAAAGCATGGTTGGTAGCAATCGTCCTTCCAACACAGTTTGTTTTGATACGTGCCCTTCAAATGTGGCGCCGTGCACCCACAATACATTGTGCCGTTACATCAGTTCCAAAGCCCTATACTCACCCCCTCGTACACTCGGCTCTTTTTCAGCTTCCCTTCTGTCTGTTCCACCTTGCCCGCCTGATGGGACTCAGAGCCTTTGGTAGACTATGGATGTACTTCCACCAGATCTCCAGACCACAAACTGTTTCTTCACTTTTAAATTGTATTTTAAAACCATCTATTCAGAACTGCATTCCCTTCATTATGACTCTGTCTTAGTGCATTTTTACCATTCTTAGCTTTTATACTTTCATGCTTGTTTTTTTTCTCATTTAACTTGTGTTTTTATTTAGTTTTACTATATTTTAATATGTTGTATTGTTGTTACTGTTATTGTACTATTGTAAGGTGACCTAGAGGGCCTTAAAGGCACCTAGAAATAAAATGTATCATTATTATTATTAGCATTACTCTTAATAATTTTTGCACATTGCACCTTATGTAGTCCTGCGCTTATTGTCTGTTATATGTAGCACCATATGGAGGAATTCGTTTCACTGTGTACTGTACCACAGCACAAAGTTGGAATGACAATAAAGCCACTTGATTTAGTTTGAGATTTAGTGGGTGTTAACCATCGGGTGCTTAGTTTATGTAAAATTGTAGTTTGTTGTTTTGGTTAAATTAGCTTAAATTATGTGTGTGTTGTATATGAGTAGACTTGTATACAGTTAAACATGTATGGATTATATAATATCGAAGTCTGAATACTGATTTGTAAATACTGGAATTTGAAATGAGGGGGTAGGTACAGAAAAGGTGCAAACTTTATCCTACTCATTTTCTAGCATACACATTGTGTAGACATAGAGATAATCACGAAACTTGATGTTAAGGTTTTTCTTTTTTCTTGTTATTTCAGTTATATTTACGAAATAAACATTATTGTATTTATGCATCTATATATAGAAGTGGGAGTGGAGATACATGACCGGAAACATACAATAGTTAAACACAGAAGCAAAGCTGTGATGGGGACAGGGATTTTACTTTGTCCAGTGACGACAGAAATGACATTTCAGTGCCTCAGAGTTTATCTGAAGGTCACACCTATCACGCCTCAAACACACCAGCAGGTCAGCGCTCTGACCTTGTATCTGCTGGAGTTTGTCCTCCACTTGTCTCTTCATGTCCTCAGCTTCCATCATGATGTTCTTCAGTCGACCAGCAGCTTGACCCTTGACCTCCTGATTCTGTTGATTTTGCTTTAAAACCTCAAACTGCTTAGTGACATCACTGAGCTCCTGTTGGGCAGAAACAGTGTTCTGATTTTCATCTGAGACTTGAAACTAAAAACAGAGACTCAAAGTTGTGTGCAAAGTTTTACATAGATTTTTCTTATCTTAAAGCCTCAAACACATATAAATGTGTCTGTTGGTGTTTTTACCATCTCTGCATCAGTGGTCATGTTTAAAGCACTCTCTGCCACCTCTCTGGCTTCTCTCGCTGTCTCTCTGTTCTCTTCAGTTTTGTCCTTCATAGCTTCAATCTCTTTCTGCAGGTCTTTGGTCTGAATCATGAGCCTCGCCTCGATGTTGTCCAGTGTGTCTTCAGCCTGAAACAGAAAACAAACACGAGCACATCAGCATCAGGCTGAACAAACGTCTCAGAGGTCATATGTGAAATATTTTGGATGTTTTACATCTTGGATCCTGTCTTTGGTCTCATCTTTGTTTCTGCTCGCTCTCTCTAAGAGGTTGTTAGCTTTGGCCTGAGCTTTGTCTGCTTCATAAATATCCTGAATGATCTTCTTCACATCAGTGTTCTCCATCTGCTCCCTAAATACAATAAACAAAGACGATTAAGGTTCAGAACACGAAGAGGACAAATATGTGTTCCACCTATAAATCACTAATCAGAAGGACAGGAAGTAAAAACATCAGAGAGCAGTGACACTCAGACTCAGAAAGCTGATTCTGCTCCTGCTGCCGAACATCCGAAGGACCAGTTCAGCACTGAAAGCATCTCACTATGCCTGAGAAAAACATCTAAAACATATGAAGAAAAATAATGTTTCATGCAGTCACAGATCAGCTGTGGATGTGTCCAAAACTCCTCAGTGTTCGTCTGAAAGACTAAAAATGAAAAATGGCCTCTGATACTGTCTGAGGTCATCTTCACAGTCACGGTATTATATTGTTCATGACATCATGAAGCTCCTGTTGGACAGCGTTGTAGTGAGAAGTTGTGTCCTTACCTTTTCCATTTTGAAATGTTATAGAGTCTTTCATTGATGACAAAAATGGGGGAAACACAAATGAGACAGAGCAAATGATCTAAAATCAAAAGAGTAAACATGGACGTATCTGTGGTAAAGTCTTAACTAGGGATGGGTACCAGTATCCGGTGCCATTATGGCACTGACATAAACGGTAGTAACCAGGCCGAAAAGCAGCGCACATTTCGGTGCTTGGTTTCGATGCTTTTTTTTTTCTTGAGATGTCATACACTTTGGATTCTAGCCAATCATTTTACCTTTCCGAGGATAGTAGGCGGGTCCAGGTACTTACAGTCTTTTATTGCAGAGCTACAGATTAAAAATGCCCAAGGCGAAGCAGTCAAAAGTCTGGCTGTACTTCACAGCAAACGATGCAAACTCAGCAGCAACAAGTGCTTTAAGGTGATACTGTGATACTGTGCAAAGGAGGTAACACCTCAAATCTGATGAAACACCTGGCGACGTATAGCATTTTTTTAAAAGCTGAGAAATGCACCGTATTTGATAGCTTGCTGTGAGACCTCACACCGAGCACAACTACTGTGGGTGGGTTGCCTGTTATTGGACCCGGAGTTAGCAACATCCCCCAAGCACCTGAAGAGGAGAGTCCTGGCCCCTAGCCCTGCCAGTGTAGCAGAAATGATGAGGATGATGATGGCAGCAGCAGCCGTTCTTCTCTGCGTGAGGAGCTTAATGTTGTTCGTGTGTAATTTACGTTGAGTAGGCTAACCACGTTATTACATTAATGCACGTAAGGTGAACTAGCAAACACCGTCGTAGTTACATGCGGCTGTCTTCTTGTTTGATAGAGTGATACCATATATGCCCTATAGCTGCAAAAAAGGCTAACCTGGTAATCATTTTGCAGAAAAAAAGAGACTGCTAAAAATAATAACATAAGAGATTTTTGGACAAAGTTTGTGTTCTCCATTCTTTAAGCACCGGTTCGAGCACCGTTTAAGCACCGGCACCGTTTCAAAAGTACTGGTTTGGCACCGGTATCGGATAAAACCTAAACGATACCCATCCATGGGGGTGGAAAAAAAAACAACAAAAAACAAAAAAACACAAAAAACAAAAAAACATGGGGATGACTCCCTGCTGGAGCCTCTGCTGGATGTCAGCGGGACTGCAGCTGATGGTGGTTTTAGGGCAGGGGTGGGCAACTCCAGGCCTCAAGGGCTGGTGTCCTGGAGGTTTTAGATAGCACCTGGGGTCAGCACACCTGAATCACATGATTAGTTTATTACCAGGCCTCTGGAGAACTTCAAGACATGTTGAGGAGGTTGTTAGCTCTTAGAAACATATAATCATATATGCTGAGAGGTATATAATCGATTGCATAATGATATAATGCCTGATCCTCAGTAGTCTGCAAAGACTATGTGCGTTCCAGAATGCTCTGGCATACCACACGTCCTAAGGTCATGATAGAGGTCTTACCTTCTCTTTCTGATATATAGTATAGGAGGACACCTACTTTATCTGTTTGAGTATAAGAGCCCTTTGTTTAGGCGGACCGCATGCCTGGTTGATATGTTATATGTTAATGAGACTATGCATTTTCATGTAACCACAATAAAGAGCAGACTACAGAGGGGCTGACATATAGTGACTGGCGTTTGAGCGGCAGGAACAGCGCTCGTCCCGGTCACCTCCCTCATGCACGAGATCACACAAATAGCTCTGGTGTCTGGTGTGTTGTTTTTGCCATTGTAGTGGATTGTCTCGGTTGTTGCAGCAATAGGTTTGTGCCTAGTTAAAGCTATCAGAGGTCATTTAGCCATTTAAATCAGCTGACATTTCTAAAACCTGCAGGACACTGGCCATTGAGGCCTGGAGCACCCCCACCTCTGTTTTAGGCTAAAGGTTGCATTTCATTTCTAGTTTCTAGTTTAAAGTTTTTGGTTTGAATTAAGCTTTTATGTCATTTTTATGCTCTCAGCACTGACTTGAGTTCCAAAGCTTCCTGCTGCAGGTCCATGGCTGCCTTGGCTTGCTTGTCCAGGTTCTTTAAGTCCTCCAGGAATCTGGTGGCATTTTTCAGCAAATTATTGACGTTGCTGATCATGGACTGGATGTTAGCAGGTGACTGTGGGAGCTCGATTCTCAAAACTGCTTGTGCCATTTTCTCAGTGTCCTTTGGAGGAACCATGTCATCTGTCAGGGAGGAAATGTGAAGAGCAATGAAAAGGTTTCCTGCAGAGAAACATTACATACTCACATACAGCAGCATCACAACAGCACCAACGTTCTCTGTAAAGCCACGCTCTCTCTCTCTGACTTCAAAGGATCCATCCTGTACTTTGCTACCATCTGGTGGGTACTGCCTCAAAGTGGACATGAAACACTACATGTATAAAGCCTAATTTACACCATTCACAGAGAGTTGGGGAATGGCTGCAATCACAGCATTGTAAGATGGCGACAGATGTACCCTTAGGCCCCTCCTCAATTCAGAGATGGTCTTTCCCTTTTCACGTAAATGGCCTCCTTGACTCCGCCCTCAAACCAGCGTTCCTCCCTGTCCAGGATGTGTACATCTTCATCCTTGAAAGAGTGTCCACTGGCCTGTAGGTGTAAATAGACTGCAGAGTCCTGGCCTGACGAGGTAGCTCTTCTGTGTTTTGCCATCCGCTTCGCCAAAGGTTGTTTGGTTTCCCCGATGTATAAATCCTGGCAATCCTCCTGGCACTTAACAGCGTACACTATGTTACTCTGTTTGTGTTGGGGGACCCGATCTTTGGGGTGGACCAATTTTTAAAAGCCAAAGAGACGCAGTGTTTAGAAAAAATGCGTCTCAGCTGCTCCGATACTCCTGTCACCTACGGGATCACTACTACAGGTTTTCACTTAGACAGCAGTTGTCCTTCTCTCCTGGATCGGCTGGAGCTTTGTTTAGGTGCCTTCCCAGGTTTGACAAAAGTCCAGCTGGGATAACCACATTTACTCAGGGCCTTCTTCATGTGATGTTCGTCTGCTTCCCTGGCCACTGTGTCAGTGGGGATGGTGTTAGCTCTGTGCTGTAGCGTCCTAATGACACCCAGTTTGTGCTCCAGTGGATGATGAGAGTCAAGCCTTAAATGGCCTGTATTTGTATAGCGCTTTACTAGTTCCTAAGGACTCCAAAGCGCTTTACATATCCAGTCATCCACCCATTCACACACACATTCACACACTGGTGATGGCAGCTACATTGTAGCCACAGCCACCCTGGGGCGCACCGACAGAGGCGAGGCTGCCGGACACTGGCGCCACCGGGCCCTCTGACCAGACTAAATACTTATCCATATGTGTAGGTTTACCGTGCACGTCAGCTTTTAGATGTCCCCCATTACTGATGGAAATCTCACAGTCTAAGAAGGCTAACCTGCAATTATTTCATATCCTCCCTGGTGAATTTGATGTGTCGGTCCACCGAGTTATTGTAATCCGTAAAATGTGGTATGTCCTGAGATTTGATTTTCACCCAGGTGTCATCCACAAATCTGAACCAACGGCTTGGTGGTGTTCCAGGGTAGGATAGCAAAGCCCTCTTTGCCACTTCTTCCATGTACAAATTGGCCACAATGGGTGAAACTGGGGAGCCCATGGCACACCCGTGATTGCGGTGCCGTGCAGAGGAGGTGGGCGCACCTGCACGGCATCCGCAATCACGAATTGAATATTGTACTGGGTCCTGTGGTTGGCGTTGTTGTTGTGATAATGTTGAGCGGGCAGCAGTAGAGCTGCAGCTCTGTGAGTATTGTGGACAGCAAAGCATTAATAAAAAGTATTAAAATGCCACTGGGTCTGCCGTGTATGTTTACACATATAGTTAGGGCTGGATCAGGTGAATCTACCCATGACCCTCTTAATGAACAACCCCCACTACAGTTTAAATACATGGGATGATCCATCAATTAATTTTAGACCTGGTGAAGCCTCTTGGATGAAATATGTTCACAAACTTAAAGATGTCCAGTTGTTTTCTTTCCAAACTCCTTAGGCTTCCGTGACCTGACTGAGGACCTACACTGAGACTTATCATTTAGTTCTATTTGTCTACTATTTATATTTTATTCTGGGACAGTTGGTGTGCAGCACCCACAATTTTGTTGTACAAGTACAACAACAATAAAGGGTTATTCTATTCTATTCTGGCTGTACAGGACCTCCACATCTGCCTTTTATGTGGCTTATAAATGATCTGAATTACTGTCTCTTAAATCTGTTGATTTGATGATGATCTATGTCTCACTGAGGAAAGTGAGATGATCTGATGATCATTGCAGGCTGAGAAAGAACACACTGTACATGATTGCTCTACAACTTTAAACAATAAGTTAATGAATGTGGAGTGAGCACTGACCCATCAGGTAGTCTTTGACTTGCTGAATAAGCTCTCTGATTTTGTTTTTCTCTCTCTCACACGAGTTTGTATTGTTGTTGATCTGGTCCTGCAGATCTCTGGCCCAGTTTTTGGCATCCCAAGTCATCTCATTGGCATTATTGATCTGACAAAAGAAATCACCTTTTAAAAGATTTAGTTTGTGGAGAGGGATGTGAAATATTACACTATGGTAATTGGTCTACACGTAAGTTTATAATGCTACAACACTAGCATCTGCAAAATTAAAAACATCTTTGTGAGGAAGAAAAGAAAGTGTGATTTGAGTCATCAAATTGAAAAAAACATTTCTGTTTGTTCATCCAAAAAAGTAAAACAGGAAGAGCTCTACTGTTCTGTCGATCACACACAAATATCAAAGAAATGTAGATGCAAAACTCACTGGTCTCGTCAAATGACACCACAACACACCACCAACACACTTCCAAACCAACGTGGTGCTTGGTAAGAGGCCTGCAGGTTTAACCTGTGTTTAACCCTCACCCACTCCCATAGAGAGTAGAGCATTCACCAGTGTTTCCAGTATAGACCTGCCTTGTTCTTGGTGTCCTGCAGTCTGGAAGGCAAATTCATGAGCTGGTCTTTCAGCTTCTCTGCAGTCTTAGAAGCATCCTCACTGACATGAACAGCTCCTTTACAGTTTGGACTTCCGCACTTCCTCTTCCCCAGATCACGCCCACAAAGAGCTCCAGTACACCCTGAACAGTCCTCCAAACCTGGATCGCCACAGACCTTTATCGCATCACAACAAATTGCTTAAACAGTATTCACATTTACCCAGCGGTCATTGTTGATTTGATTATATGGAATCAATGATTTTCACAGCAGCATTGAGACAACAGGACAATCAGCTATTCATTTAATCCTGCAGCTACTCATGTGATATATTAGTCATATGACCTTACAGTTCAATGTTTACATTGTAGGGTTTTTGGTTTGTTTGTTTGTTGACAAACTGCATCTGGTTGTTCTAGATTGGTCATTTTCCAACAAAGAACAATTTCCATGTTTACATCATCTTATCTTGACTTAATGAAAGGTAGGTTTGGTGTTGGTGATGTCTTGCCTAACATCATTGGGTCAAACGAAATTCATAGGTTTGTTCTTTGTAGGAAATGTGCCAGTGGTTTTCAGGTGTACCTGTGTGACCTAACGGTACTGGCTAAAACAGGTGTGGTTTGCTCAAAGCAAGGAGACGCTCGACATTTTGTCTAAGTGTTCGGGTTTTCTAATGGAGAGTGCTGTAAACTAAACATGTCTGCTGAGTTTGGCATCAACTCTGATCTGCTGAACTGTGATTGTGATTTAAGCACCTTGAGACAACAGCTTTAAGGTTTGGTGCTATGTAAATAAACCTGAATTGAATTGCGTTTAAATCATTGGCTAAAAAATTATTGATCACCATACCCTCCAGTTTTATAGGAGCTGAGTTGCTCCCAGTCAGTGACCTCACCACAGGTTCAAACTCAAACCTCTTTGGTAAAGATAAAGATATCTTTATCTCTATCTTTTGGTAAAGATAGTCACCTTCTGTTTGAGCTGAACCACACTCAGCTCTGTGACCTTCTTCTTCAGCAGTGCAAGGTCTCCTGTATTGCACATGCTCAGTTTGTGTTTGACTTCCTGTCTGGTGTCCATGGAGTCCTCTACAGCTTTGCTGACATTTCCCACCCTCTCATCCTCCAACATGAAGAATCTGTAAAGCGTCTGGATCTCATCCAACAGCTCTACAACAGGTTCAGATGAGACACGCGCTAAGCAGAGAAAGTGAAATCATGAAACATGAAGTCTGCTCTGTGATGAAAACAAAGGTTTATGTTTAAAAAGATGAATTCATTGCCTGACAAATAGATCTGCTCTGTTTTTAACTGAACCATGAAAGCAGTTTCTGAGAATATTTATGTTTCTTCACTTTCTGTTAGAGATAAGTGAACATTTTTAGGTATTTAGCTTCACATTAAGACCGTGCATGTCCTGATCTTTAATTTAAATGTGGAGTCTTCAAAAACTCAGAAAAGGATCTTGTGTAGTTTATCTGAAGATGTTTAAAATCCTCTGATGTGATGTGATGTGATTTTAAAAACAAAACATATAAAAAAAGGAATGTACCTTTCTGTTGGTCATTTACGTTATCAGTTGGCACACTGGTGAGTTTCTTCTTAAGGTTCATGATTTCTAGATGAATGTCGTCAATTTCAGTGTTGAAGAGGGGAGACATGTCAATCAGGATCACATTTGTGTCGATGGCATCTTTCACCTTCCTGTGAGATGAATACACTCTGATTATTCAGCATAAGCTAAATCTTCCTGAGTGCTCTTTGATTGTACAGTATTGTGAAAAAGTCTTGAGTCAACCTCATTTCTTAATATTTTGCTAAGTTAAAGGCAAATATGTGACTATTTATTGAAACATGCAGCCATAAATTGAAATAGATAAAAACAGACTGCACAATTCTAACAAACTTGAACGTCAGTATTTGGCAGAGGTGTGGACTCGACTCAGACTCGAGTCATTAATTTTATGACTTTAGACTTGACTTGAAAAAATGTTCTAAGACTTGTGACTTGACTTGGACTTTTACACCAATGACCTGGGACTTGAATTGGACTTGAACTGGTTTACTTGAGAAGACTTGATATTTCACCCCAAATATAAAATTTAACATGCATATTATATAGAGATTGAAAATGTGACGTCATTCAGGGGTAAAACCGCAAAGGATTCTGGGAACTCGTGGCAAGCGGTACTAGCACATGCAGGCTTTCAATTGAAATCAGTCACACAGCGATAAAAAGAAACACAAAAATGTCAAGAAGCTGTTGTATCATTAACTGCAATAGCCGGTCGCATGACAGCCACGGGAAGCCGACGGGTAAAGAGATCGGTTGTTATCGGATTACGTCGTTGAAGAGAAATTGTTCGACCCATGTTTCCAAAGTAACAAAGAGGCGACGGATGGTCTGGATTGCAGCCATTCAAAGACCAAATTTAACATCCCAGAACACTCCAGCTCACAGGTTAGTCTGCTCCAAGCATTTACACGAAGGTCAGTCTGCTGTTGTAGTTAATACGTCATTTTTCTTAACATAATTGGTGATATAGGTTACAAGCAAGTCTGGCGCTGAACAGAAATTGTCGCGCTATGCTCCTTTGTTTATTGTGCATAAATAGTGAATTGTCCTGACACAATATTGTGTTTCGCTTCTGTTATTATGGTACATTGACAAAAACATGTACTTTTATTCACAGGGTAAAACAGTTGTTTTGTATCACTAATTGCCCAGTACGATTACAGCATACAATATTATTGTCACTGCTACATTTCTGTGATGGGTACCAGAAATTATTTCCACTACTAATTAATTACCGTTGAGCTCAAAGGTTATATTAATAAACGGTTAACGAATGTGTATTTATGAAGACGATTTGTGAGACTGGTAAACTTATGATACGTACGATGGTCCTTCGTTCGGTGCATTTCAAGGTCCTGCACCCATCCGTCGGTAAACTGTACCTGGGCTTGTTGCATGACCTGAAGTTACTAAACTTCATGAGTGTATGCACTCACTCCAAGAACCGTATGATTATAAATATGCATATAAATATGCTACGATGAGATAGCTGACTTCATCTAACTGGCAAATGTTTTCCAGGCTACGTTGGTGATACAGTTCTTTTTAATGTGTATGATATTTTTGTCATGCGATTTTAAAGCCGGTCCTACAAGCGCATCCAAGAATAACATGCAGCTTATCTCAGAACTGTCGGTGAAAATTATTCTTGGAGCTAAGTTTAATTGAGCTGCATTTTAAAGAGGTGCAATTTCACAATTTGTGTATATTTTCCAAGTTCACTATTTTGTCATGTGTTGAGAAAAACACAGATTTAAAAATTACATGGTCTAATATTTACATTTAGCATATAATGGCAACATGCTTTTTTCGGGTTTTTTTAAAGACTCGAAAGGACTTGAAATTCAAAATTTCAGACTTGTGACTTTACTCGGACTTTTACACCAGTGACTTGAGACTCGACTCTGACTTGCCTGACATTACTTGAGACTTGATTTGAGACTTGAGGATAAAGACTTGAGACTTACTTGAGACTTGCAAAACAATGACTTGATCCAACCTCTGGTATTTGGTATGATCACCTTCATTCTTCAGCACAGATTGCGCTCTCTGAGGTAGCTTTCTGTAATTTGTTTTAGTCCACAGAAAGAGTTCTCCACGCTTCTTGAAGGACATCCAAAGTGCTTCTTTGGATGATGATCCCACACTGCTTAAATATTGTTGATGTGCAGGCTATGGGGAAGCAACTCCATGTCTAACAGTATTCTGTTATGTGTTTTGGTATTACATGGTTTTGTATGGTGGATCAAAGCTGATGGTACTTTTCTGCATTCATCAGTTTTATCAAAGATCTTAATTCTGACCACCTCCTTTAAATTTGTCAGTCCGTCAGATTTTAGTTTAATAAATTTTTTGGCATTTCTTAAGGACATGATGTTTTAGACACTGTTCATCTGAAATGTTCAAATTTTTTAGGCCTGGCACTTCAGATACATATCAAATTTCCTTCCTCTGAATCTGGTAAGTTACAAGAACTGGACTGAAAATGAGTAAAAAAGCAGCCTATGTCCAAAGAAAAACTTTGAAAGACCTTCAGAAACTATGCTCAAAAACACTTTACAAAATTACGGGAAAGTCTGGCTCCTTGGAAGCAAAATATAAAGAAATGAGGGATGACTCAAGAGTTTTCCAGTATACTGTATATTTTTACATTTAGCATTAGTGGAGTTCCTTTTAAGTTCATCCTCTCATGCCTTACCTAACCTTCAAAGACATTTTCTCCAGTTTCTCCACGCTTGGTGGGGAGATTACTCTCAGGTTGGCCAGGCTGTCCAGCATAGAGTGCATGTTAATCATCTCCTGCAGGTGCTGGTTATCTGTGGGCTGTACATTGTTATGAGGGATAAGGGTCCTCATTTTCTGGGCAGCTCGCTGGACATCAGTGACAATTTGAGTCCAGAGTGCGTTGCAGGGATGGCACGGTTCACAGGCTGGGAATAATGTATTGAAGCCGGGCGTGCACTCATCACAGAATATACCGCTTACACCCGCCCGACAGATGCACTTGCCAGTCTCAGGGTCACATGATGGTTGTTTGGTTCCCTCCAGATTGCAGTCACAAGCTGAAAACAAGATAAAACATGGTATCTTCGCATGAAAACAAGGGGGATTTAGAAAAGGTTAAAGTGGACCTGCGCTGCTGCTACTTAGAATACACTTTCCCCCAATAAACTGTAAACTCAATAAATCAGTGTGTCTATGCCTTAAAAGTAGAATGGGAGGCGGAGCCTTCAGTTTTCAGGCCCCTCTTCTGTGGAACCAGCTTCCAGTTTGGATTCAGGAGACAGACACTATCTCTACTTTTAAGATTAGGCTTCAAACTTTCCTTTGTTCTAAAGCATATAGATAGGGTTGGATCAGTTGTCTAGGCTGCTGGGGGATTCTCAGGATGCACCAATGTATTTACACACCTGTCTGCATTTAATTATTAGTTAATATTAATGTCTGGTTCTCTTCCACACCCTGTCTTTGACCTGCGTTCTTCCTGGAACAGTGCAAAGTTTCCAAATAAGACAGAAGTGGTAGATGTGGATGTTGTGCTTTGAGTGCAGCTCTTTCAGTGACCATATAAGAATATCCCCATCCTGCGACATCAAGCAGATCAAAGAGTATAAAAAGTGTGGTAAAATGAGTCTTCAGAACAGTCTGCACCCTTTCTTTGGTTTTTGGTTCACTGCCCTCAATATTTGAAACTTTGGAACGATTTATATGAATAAACACCACTGGAGACATATGTCAGAAAAGAAAAGAAGAATTGTCCACTTAAAGGAAACATTGAAATATTACTCACAGATACACTGCAGGTCTGGATTCCTAAAATGATTTTCTCTGCATTCATCACAGTGCCTTCCTCCAAACTCAGGATGGCATGGACAATGTCCAGTTACCTGAATATGTCACAGCACATTCATTCAAAGTTTAACCATCAGCATCTACTGCAGGTGATTATTTATAATTTTGTTTTTTATTTGAAATAAAAACAACCTTGAAATGGACACACAAACACACAAGGCTGTTTTTCTGAGGTGAGAGGAGTAGCAGAGTGACAGTCTCACACCCTAAATGATAAATGAAAACTGAACCCTGTGGTCACACGCCGACACTGTCTGTGGCTGTGGAGCTCTTGCCTTGTCACAGATGTTGGAGATAGATTTGATGAGGTCACAGCTGCAGGGCTGACATCCCGAGGCTATGTTCAGATTCCAGTATCTGTCCTCACATTCATCACAGAGTTTACCTATCACACCTGTCCTACAGGGACACTGTCCTGTCCTGGGATCACAGAAACAGGGTCTCCCCAGAGGACACCGAGTCTCCTGAGTCCCCCGTCGATCACAGGAGCATTCTGGAAAATACTTTTATTTTAGTGTTTGTCAGACCATTGTGAAATATAGAAAAGAAATACAGGGTATACAGTATAGATGGAGCAATAAAGAAGAAAATTTATGCAAGAAGATTATTGATGATGGAAGCATTCATCCCTCTTTCAAAACTGCAGTTTAACTTTAAAATGGTTATAGTAAGAATCAGGTTTTAAACAGGATCTTTAGATACTTTGCTACTAGCAGCCTGTCATAAAAATACATAACACATTCCTTAGCATTTTCCCAGCTTTAATTGAAAAAAACAACACATTTTGACTGCATGAAATAGTACTTTTGCACCAGCAAGTTTATTCTCGCAGACCTGTTAGCTGAAAAGTTTGCACATTTTGGCATTGTGAGCAGCGTGCCTTTGTAAAAAAAAAAACTGAGGACAATGGAAAAGTGAAGGCCTAAAGAAGAAGTGTGAGGCCTAAAACGATATCTACAGCAGATAAACAGTACCTGATATCATGAAGTCATGTCCTTAAGAAAAAGGGGAAAAATGCTTTGCCTATCGATCACACTTATCGGTTCTGCTTGCACTTGGACAATCAGCTAATTTCAGTTTGTGTGCAGGAGAAGGAAAATAGTGGCACAGCCTACAGCATGAATATGGATATTTTATGGTAAAGTGGAGACTGCTCCAGAACAGAAACAGCTGCATTATTCTGCTAACACAACTTCAGCTCTTTGCAAGCACCTTCACAGATGGCATGCTAATGCTAAGCTAGCCAAGAACCCAGAGTGATGCTAAAGCTGAGTAAATGCAGACCTCAGCCCAGCAGCCAGAGCCTGAACAACAAGTAAAAAACTTGCTGCAATCAGGCTGCAGCCTCTACCTGTTCATGCTTCTACAGTGGGATCACCATGACGACTGCTTTGAAGTCTCTTTGTGCTGGTCTCCATATTTCAATTCAATTCAATTTTATTTATATAGCGCCAATTCACAACAACAGTCACCTCAAGGCGTTTACATTGTAAGGTAGACCCTAAAACAATACAATAATCCCTGCAGCAAAAAGTCTAATGTGGCTGAAGCAATCTTATTATGACCAAGGAGAGAAAGCAGGTAGACTTTTGGCATGGAGAATTAAGAAAATGCAGAGTGAAGGAGCAATTAATAGTATAAAGACCTCTTCAGGGTATGTAACAGTAGATCCATTGGAAATTAATGACAGCTTTAGAGAATTGTATGAAAATTTGTATAAATCAGAATGTGCTTATGCCTCAGAAGAACAGGACGTATTCTTAGATCAAAATCAGTTCCAGACACTAATGGAAAACACAAAGCAGGAGTTAGACGGACGTCTATTGAAGAGATATCACAGGCTATCAAAGCATTAACAGTGGTAAGGCACCTGGGCCAGATGGCTTTCCGGTCGAATTTTGTAAAAATTTCCAAGAAAAATTAACATTTCCTCTTTTTACCCTGAAGAAGCGTAAATGAAACTCTCCCACCTACTCTGGAACAGGTAATGATTACTTTGCTACTGAAACCTGGTAAGCCCCTGCAGAGAGTTCATCATTTAGACTAATGGTGGTTGACACTAAAATACTTTGTAAAGTTTTAGCAAGACGATTAGACTCCTGTATCGCACATTTAGTTCATGATGATCAAAATGGCTTTGTACTAAAACGTCAAGGGTTTCACAACATAAGAAGGATTTTGATTATAATTCATGAGAAATTTGATGCTAAAGATACAGCATTATTATCACTTGATGCTCGTCAGGCCTTTGACAGAATACAGGAGTCATATTTATTTAATGTTCTTCCAAAATATAGATTTGGAAACACTTTTCTCAAATGGGTTAAACGTTTGTATACAAATCCCAAAGCTAATGTTTTAACAGATAACAAGTTTCTAACCCTATCACATTGGAGCGTTCCACACGCCAGGGGTGCCCGTTATCTCCAATGCTATTTTTCTTAGCTGGCGATGATGTTAGAATGAGAACTGACATATTTGTTTTCCAGTTAGGAGATCAAGAGCATAGATTGGCCCTTTATGCTGATGACCTGATAGATTTTTTTGACTAGGCTCTCCATTAGTATACCAAAATTAATGCAACTAATGGAGTTATTTCTGGCTATAATGATTCAAAATCCTCCATCCTATTTCTGAACAAGGATGAAAGGCTAAATCCTATTATACAAACCTCGCTTATTAATGCAAAAAGGATTTGTGTATCTTGGAGTTAAAATCACCCCAGACATTGACACCATTGTAGCAACAAACTATGACCCTTGATTAGTGAAGTGGAGGAATCTCTAAATAAATGAATGACAATGGCCATATCAGTGAATGGCCATAGAAACATTATAAAAATGAACATATTACCAAAATGTTTATATCTGTTCCAGTCACTTCCTCTGCCTTTTCCAAAAGAATTCTTTGATAAGTTAAACAGTATCTTTGATATATTTATTTGGAATAACAAAAAACCTAAATTAAGACTTCACTTGTTGTAGTTAGTGATATAGATATATTACAATATATATTAGCAATAGTATAGATATGTGAGTATATTTGTCATGTTTCGGCCGTGTGGCAGGCAGGATGAGGACCCAAATTGCAAACTCACACACACGGGGGATAAACTCAAAATGCAGCTTTATTGCTGATAAGTGATAAACAATAACGATGATACAAAAAGCAATACAAAACTACACTAAACTGGGAAAAGCTAAAGTAACATATACTGGAAGACACGGGGAGAACCACACACGGCATGAGGGAGAACGCGACGCCGAACAGAGGAAGACGCAGACAGAAATACACAGAGGGTTAACGAGGAAAGTGGGAACACACGGGGAACACAGGTGACACAGATAACCATAACGAGACAGGGCGGGGTGAACTGAACATGACATGTAGAGGCAGAGGTTCCGACAGGAGGAGAGAGAGCACGGGGAAAACACCGACATAACGGGCTGGGGAAACATGAAACAACCACAAAGGGAGACGAGGGCTCATCAATACATAGAGGGCACACAGGGGGAGAGAGCCATGAAGGGAAAAACACTTAGGGAACAACACAACAGGGCAACTCAGAAGACATGGCCTAAATAAGGAACGAAATACGAGAATACAAAGAACTAATACTGGGCCCACATGGCCCAGGACCATGACAATATTACAGAAATGGGTCTATTATGGTATGTTATAATGTACACGGTATGAAGTATGTTGTGAATATTCTATAACTATAAGTATGTACAGGCTGTAGTGAGTACAAGCTATGTACAGGCTATGAAAAGGATATAAATATGAAAAACTATACAGAATATGAAATAAATAACTTTACAGAATCTGAGATATACAGCTATACAGAAATGGGAACTATGCAAGTTGTAAACAGTTGTAGGATTAAAGATTATCGAATGTACAGAATGATTATTTACACAGAGCTATACAGTAGTGCAGTTAAGATAAGTGAGGGTGTGGATAGTTTCTACAGAGGCTATATAAAGTGCTAGTGGTTGTGAGTGGTGGTTCAGTCCATGTTATTATTGTGTTTGAGGGTACAGTTGTCCATTGTGGGTGTGTGTATGTTCAGTCCATGAGTTTAACGTGGGTCAGATGTCAGGAGGCAGAGTTCAGGAGTCTGACAGCTGTGGGGAAGAAGCTGTTCCGGTACCTGGTGGTCTTAGTCCGGAGGCTCCTGTGGCGCCTCCCAGAGGGCAGGAGGGTGAAGAGTCCATGTGATGGGTGACTGGGGTCTTTGATGATTTTCCCAGCCCTTTTCAGACACCGCTTCCTGTAGATGTCTTTTATGGCAGGAAGTGGTGCTCCGGCGATGCGCTGGGCAGTTTTCACGACCCTCTGCAGTGTCTTGTAAACTGTATGTATGTATAAGATGTTCTCACCTACCTGTGAGTCCAGCGTTTGGGTCCTCCTTTCTTCACCCACACTGCAACCACTGACAGAATGACACGACCCCGCCTTGTGGACCCAGCGGACTCTGAACTTTTCGAGCGGCAGGAGGCAGCGCTCCTTCACTGGACGGAGGAGATTAGGGGAAAACAGCGGCTCTTCGTGGAGAGAGAGCACGTCTTTGCAGGGACTCGTCTGGCTCTGGGCAGGCCTCGGGGACGCCGTGTTCTTCCGCCTGCTGCCTCTCCTGCATCGAAGCATTCACCGCGGAGAGTGGGTGTCACTGGCCAAGCTTCAGCTGCTCACTCCCTCACTGCTCTGCTCCTCGAGGGAGGCAGCCGACGGGCAAGTCGGCTGCTTCACTCACCAGACTCTCCGCCTCGCCACGGCACAGCGGCTCCGTCTCCCACCTCCGCTCAATGGAGGCTCCCGTGCCAGAGGCTCAGCTGTTTACCCTGCCCGCTTCCTCTTCCCGGAGAAAGCGGCGCAAACGCCACCATAAAATGGACTATTTTGAGGAACTCCCGGTGGTGAGTTCCAGTGACTGTTTTCCACACTCGTCATCCGTTTCCTCACTTAAAACAAATAATAGACTTATCTCTGATTCATGGTGAGTTTCCCTCCTGGATGAGGATGTGGATTGGGAAGTTGTTTTCTGCTCTGCTCCCTCTGAGCTGGTATTTATTTAAGACAATAACAGCACTTCAACACCCCCAAAGACTGTTCAGTTAAAGACTGTGAATAGTGGTGGCAGAAGGGCCAGAATAATATTGGATAAATCTGTTGTCACGATTCCTGGGTACGCAAACCCTAGGTCTGCTTATTCTAAGACTGTTTTATCTAAGCCGGCTTCTTCACCTACCTGTCAGCCTGTTCCGGTTTCATCAGCCCAGGCCACTCTTAAAAATATTCATGCACCTAAACCTGCCAGTATCACTCACCCTGTCATTATTTCCACCTCTATCAGTTAGCCAACACCCACACCTGTGCCAGCGCCCAGGCTGAGGGCAGCTGTGACCCAGTCCGCTCCTGCACCTGTTCATGTTCCTCGGGTGGGTGTGACTGATGTCCAACCACCTCCCGTGCCTGTCCCAGCGCCCAGGCTGAGGGCAGCTAGAACCCAGTCTGACCTCCCTAGAGGCTCGGAAGAGCTAGCCTCTCCACCTGTCAGTCTACCACTTCATCCACCTCCTGATCCAGCCTTTCACGCACTAGCACTATCCCTGGTCAGGCTAGCTGATCTGTTTCCAGCTCAAGCACCAGATTTACTAGCCCAGGTTTCTGCACCCGCTGGCCCTGCCTGCCTCCAGCCAGAGGCTCCCACGCTATTGCCTGCAACTGCTCCTCCGCCGGCTCCCACGGTGTCGTCTGCAGCTGCTGCTCCGCTGCAGCCTCCTCATACACGTTGGATTTGGCATCAGCGACCACCTTCCAGGCCGCTGACTGGACCTTGTTACCGGTGTGGCCGGCCTCTGGACCTGCTCAACTGCCGCCACTGCCTTCCACGTGGCCGGCCTCCGGACCTGCTCAGCTGCCACTACTGCCTTCCACGTGTCCGGCCTCCTGACCTACTCAGCTGCCGCCACTGCCTTCCACGTGGCCGGCCTCCAGACCTGCTCAGCTGCCACCACTGCCTTCCACGTGGCCGGCCTCCGGACCTGCTCAGCTGCCACTACTGCCTTCCACGTGGCCGGCCTCCGGACCTACTCAGCTGCCACTACTGCCTTCCACGTGGCCGGCCTCCTGACCTACTCAGCTGCCGCCACTGCCTTCCATGTGGCCGGCCTCCAGACCTGCTCAGCTGCCACCACTGCCTTCCATGTGGCCGGCCTCCAGACCTGCTCAGCTGCCACTACTGCCTTCCACGTGGCCGGCCTCCAGACCTGCTCAGCTGCCACCACTGCCTTCCACGTGGTCGGCCTCCGGACCTGCTCATTCGCCTCAGCTGCTGGCCACACAGCCGCCCAGCAGAACTGTTTTGGCTCAGCTGTTGGCCACGTGGCCGCTCACCAAAACTGTGCCTGTTTGGACTCTGTCTGTAGTCCCAGCCTGCTTCAAAATGGCCACCATCATTCTGTGCCCAAATCCTCCACCATCTCATCACTGAACAACTGGCAACCGGTAGCCCTGACCCACATCACTGAATTGAATTGAAATGTAAATCCTTCACCATAGGGAGAGGGCAACCAGTTATCTTTTGGGTCGAGTCAGGGTTACACTCTCAATGGTAGTGCTATAGAAGGACACCATCAGTTTCTGTGTGATATTATTCTTCCTGAGAATTCTCAGGAAGTACAGTTCTGTTTTGGACCTTCTTCAGTAGCTCAGAGGTATTTATACTCCAGGACAAGTTCTCCTCCATGTGGACTCCCAAAAAACGAAAGTCCGTCACCGTCTCCACACAGTCTCCCTTTATAGTTAGGGGTGAAAACTCTGTCTTTTTCTTTCTAAAGTCAATTATAAGTTCTTTGGTTTTTGAAGTACTGAGAACAAGATTGTTGATTTTGCACCAAGACACCAGTTGCATCATCATCATGAGCAAATGTTTCGAGAGGCTGTTCAGGGACTTCATCTGCTCTGCACTATCCAACTGACTGGACCCTCTACAATTCAGATACTGCCACAACAGGTCCATTGATGATGCCATAGCCCTCACACTACATACTGCCCTGTCACACCTGGAGAAGAGAGACACGTATGTGAGAATGCTGTTTGTAGATTACAGCTCAGCATTCAATACCATCGTTCCCTCGAAGCTGGACAGGAAACAGCAGGATCTAGGATTGAACAGCTCCCTCTGCTGCTGTATCCTTCACTTCCTGTCTGAGACGCCAAGTGGTCAGATTGGCAGCTTCACCTCATCCCCCATCATAATGAACTCAGGTGCTCCACAGGGGTGTGTACTGAGCCCTCTCCTGTACTCACTCTACATCTATGACTGCACGGCCACTAGCAACTCCAGCATCATTGTGAAGTTTGCGGATGACACTACAGTGGTGGGTCTTATCACCAAAGGTGCGCTAACCAGTGCCCTGACCCACTGGTGTCGAGACAACCATTTCACCCTCAACGTCGCAAAGACAAAGGAGTTGATAGTGGACTTCCAGAGGTGCAGAGAAGCACACACCCCCACCACCATCAACTGTGGCGAGAGTGAGCAGCTTCCGCTTCCAAGGTGTACACCTGGCAGAGGATCTCACATGGTCAGTACAAAACAGTGAAGAAGGTCCAGCAGCGTCTCTTCTTTCTCAGGAGACTGAAAAGATTCGGCACGAGCCCCCGCATCCTCAGGACCATCTACTGCTGTGCCATTGAGAGCATCCTCACTGGATGCATCACCACCTGGTATGGCAACAGCACCGCCTACAACTGCAAAGCTCTCCAGAGAGCTGTACCAGTACATGTGATGTGACAATAAAAGTGATTTAATTTTGATTTGATTAATTATTTTATCTGAGCTGAGCACTAAATCAGATAAAAAGTCTGAGAAATCAGGTAGACGATAGATGATAACGAACAAGACTGGCCTTTTTACATCTGATGTGGACAAGGATAAGCATCAGGCTTTCAAATGAATTAAAAATCTGTCTTGGTCTTTCATTAATTAATAGGCTGGTGTGAAAAATTGCTGCCACACCTCCCCCTCGGCCTGTGCTTCGAGATTTCTGGTAGTTAGAATGACTCGGGGGTGTTGATTCATTTAAACTAACATAATCATCCTGCTGCAACCAGGTTTCTGTAAGGCAGAGTAAATCGATTTGTTGATCAATTATTAAGTCATGTACTAACAGAGACTTGGAGGAGAGAGACCTAATATTTAATAATCCACATTTCACTGTTTTACTCTTTGGTTCAGATGTGGATACTGTATTGTTCTTTCTTTGTGATTGTTTATGTTTAAGTTGTTTGTTGCTGGTTTTTAGTTTGTTTTTTGTCTGTTTGGGAGCTGACACAGTCTCTATGGAGATGGGTTTTTGGGGGGGTAGCAGGAGGAGAGAAGCTGCAGAGAGGCGTGTAAGACTGCAACTCTGCTTCCTGGTCCCAACTCTGGATAGTCATATTTTGGGGGGTTTAATAAATTTGTCCATAATTCTAGAAATGAGAGCTGCTCCATCTAAAGTGGGATGGATGCCGTCTCTCCTAACAAGACCAGGTTTCCTCCAGAAGGTTTGCCAATTATCTATGAAGCCCACATCGTTTCTGGGACACCACTCAGACAGCCAGCAATTTAAGGAGAACATGCGGCTAAACATGTCACTCCTGGTCTGATTGGGGAGGGGACCAGAGAAACTTAGATCCAACATATTATTTTTCCAATAGTATATATTTTTTTTAATACCATTTGTATGTTTATAGTGGTGCAGAACTGGGCTTTTATTTTCCCAAATGTCTGCACTGAGTAGGAGATTGTACATGTGTATAGAAAAAAAAAAAGGATTCTACTCTATTCTATTAGGGTAGAGATCTGTTTTAGTGTGTGGGGCTGTGGCCTCAGGTTCATATTATTAAATGGTGATTATGAAGCAGTGCATTTCAGATAATTTTACAGAGTAACATGAAAGTAACGTAACAAGTAGACCAACGAATGTCTTTCTTCTGGGTGTAATTAAGTAACATACTGCAATACTTTGAAGAAAATTGCTCTGTGTAATATGTGTAATAATTACTTTGTTGAGTGACGACACCAACACTGATCACAACAGAGGGAAGCACCTCCAACATGCACAAACATGTGACCCGCAGCATGCAGTGAATGTGCATGAGTGTAATTTCTTTGATATGCTGATTATTGATGGTGGTGACTCTCAAAGTGGAGCCAGTGAGAACTGATAAGGGAAGGAATTGAATTGATAAGTGATATCAATAATAGAACTGAAACTGCTAAATTCTTATCAATTCGAATCCCTAGTCAAGATTGAATTTAAAGTTTTCAATTCACTCAGCCTTACAGACACTCAAGAACCAGCGCTCCTTTACACTGAAAGTTAAGGTAGCTCAGGCACCTGATCAAGACATGTTTAAGTTGCCTCTCAGTGGAGGTTTAGTGGGTTGGGTGTCCAGCTGGGTGAAGACTGTGGGTTCCACCAAAAAAGGGACACATTAGAGGACACAGGAATACTTGGTGCCCCGATGAGGTTTTGCATACATGTAAGCGGATGAAAGGATGATAGATGAAGTTTCTATGTTTTGTTGTCACCTTTGCAGTCCTGGGTTAAGGCGTTGCCATGGTAGCCAGGTTTGCAGTGTTGGCAGTGCAGGCCAATTGTGTTGTGAAGGCAGTGTAGACACTCTCCTGTTGTGCTGTTACATGAGTTGGGATCATCAGGGTCGATGTTGTTGTTGCAGGGACACTCTTTACAGACTGCACCTGGCAATGTCAGATCACCATAGAAACCAGGGCTGCAGCTGTCACAGCTTACACCTAAAAGGGAAATGGAGAGTGATATATTTTATGTGTCTTTCCAAAAATCTGCTGATAAACACTGACTCTTAGCATCGCTGCTGTCTGTCTGTCTGGTTGCCTCTTTTATGTAAAGAAGGTAAAAGTAAGTAATGCAAACATACTGGCTCTTACCTGTGTGCCCCTCCTGGCACTTACAGATGAGCCTGAGGGACTGTGGGTCATGCTGACAGGAAGTGGCGAAGAATCGCCCACTGCTCAGAACATCTGGACACAAACATGGCTGACAGGCCTGTCTGGAGATTGGGTCACCATAGTAACCCTCAACACACCTGCATCAAAATAGGTTTATCATGATTACCTGAACAGGTACCGACCCTCAGCAGTAAGTACTGGCACACTTATTTCCTGAGTAAATCTAATTTATATAAATTTACTCAGAGACGTAGCAAAGACATTTTCAGAGGGAAATTTTCAGCTGAAAAAAACCCAGCTGAGTTACAGTAAACAAAGGTTCCTTTTTTGAAATTGCATCTACTTGCAGATAAAAGCTGCATAGCTGAAAACTGAAAACCCAGCCCTTTGTCTAATTCTCTCTGTTCTTCATCATTATGGAGTATAGTATGTACTACATCTCTGAGTCGAGGAGAGGGCCTAAGGGTACATCTGTCACCATCTTACAATGCTGTGATTGCAGCCATTCCCGAACTCTCTGTGAATGGTACTCATGGCCATTGATCATGATAATTTTGCATATTAATGATTAAGGACCTGACCTCACAGTCCATTGTTTGTCAGTGACTAACCTTTCACAGCTGGGTCCAGTAGTGTGCTCCCTGCAGTTCAGACAGTCTCCGGTAAATCCATCACACACCTCTGATAGCCCATTACATTCACACGATCGACATGAAGGGAATCCCCAGAATCCCATCTGACAGCGTTTGCAGCGCTGACCCGTAATCTCTGAACGGCATGCACACTGACCACTGACCTGATCGCACAGCTCTGACACAGAGCCATGGGGGTCACAATTACATCCTACAAAAAGGTGAGAATTCATTGTGAATCAACTGTCAGACGCTCAGAGAGAAAACGAAAGGCAGTGTTTCCCCTCTGGTTTGGGTTTCTTACGTTTGCAGCCTTCAGGTCCAAAGCCAAACGTCATTGGGGCACAGGCATCGCAGCAACGACCAATCACATTGGCCTTACAGTCACAAAACCCACCCAGTTTACTGCAGGATGGTCCAGTAGAGCCAATAACATTACACCTGCAAACTGACCACAGGTAAAACGCAGATATAAACATATGAAACACTCATCTTTTCCATTGTCTCAGTCCTGGATCATCTCAGTCCAACTACTTACGGACAGCTCCATTGTGGATTTGTGCTGAAAGGCTCACAATGAGTCCCTCGCAGACTTCAGGTAGCGACTCCTGAGGGCCAGGCTTGACAGCCAATCCAGTACAGTGAAACTGGTGAAAAGTGTCGAGGTCGCTCTGGGAGCAGAAATTTTGGACTGACCCAATTCTATTAAAAAGACTAATCTGAAAAAAGGGGGGCATGATTAAACATGTAGAAATCACCTCATGTAGACACATCCCATCATTTAATTTTGAAGAGAAAAATTTAAAATTGAAACCATGCAATCTTCCCAAATTTATTTATCTCCTCAGCTATGATTGGACAGTTACTGTTAGTAGGAGGATTTCAGGGAATATGTCAATCACTTTATCTGAATAGATGAAGACCTCCTTACCGAGTCAATTAGGATGTGTGAACTATCAGATCTGGGCTGTTTATAAAAGGTGATATCCACAAAATATTGACCTCCAGCATTTAGACAGAGCAAAGAGTCCAGAATACCTCGTCTGGAAAAACAAAAAGAAAAAACAAACAAAAACTGCTGCTACTGAGACACAATCTCTGACACAAGTACACTATTAAGGCTTCAGAGAACCTTGGAGCTCACATAAGTACAAATGTGTAAGAATGTCTCTGTACGTGGAACCAGGAGTACAAAGGCACAACATTTGGCTCATGTGCGTTAGCTGTAGCTGCTGGCTGTCTGCTGTCGTTTTATAGATGTTCTGTTGAGAGTCCTCTCTCAGTACATCCTGGTATGGTTCACAAGCTGCACTAGGACTGACAACAAAGTGCTGCAAAGTTTATTAAATCATCACACACATGCAGCTACGCCCTGTCACTGATATGCACACAGAGCCTGCTGCCTCAGCCACAAACATGATGTCACCCACAGGCCACCTGATCATGGCCTCTATTAACAACTCACACAGACACTGTACAATATCCTGTATGTCTGTGAAGGTTCTCAGTCATCCAGGTCATCGTAGTCAAAGGAGCTTGCAAAGAAAGGCGTCTGGACTTCTTTAAGTTACTTGAAGACGGATGAGAGGTGAAACGTCTTCAAGTAACTTAAAGAAGTCCAGACGCCTTTCTTTGCAATATCCTGTACAATTTGCTAGTTTCAAAGAACCTGCTTAATTTCACATCTGAATAGTGTTGTGGCAGATTTCTTTTCTCATGTATTAATCACATATTTAATCATATCATATTATTTATAGTAATATCACTGTCACGGTCCTGGGTCCCCTGACCCAGCGTTTTTAGTTCCTTGTGATGTTTGTAATATTGTACTTGTGTGAGTTATTCTATGGTTTCTAGTTTCGATCCCTTGCCCTTCATGTTTCTCTGTGTCCCCTCCCTCTGTTCTGTGTAGTCTGTGTCGGCATGTTTGAGTTCCCCTCTGTCCCTCGGTTCTTAGAGTCCTCTGCCTTATGGTTTATGTCTCTGTTTCTTAGTTGCTTTCTCCACTGTGCCAAGCTTGCGTCTCTGTATGATACTTCCTGTTTTACTTTGATGGTCCGTGTGTCACGATCCCGGGTCTTATGACCCAGTGTTTTGAGTTCTAGTTCTTTTGATGTTTATGGCGTATGTTTAAGCTTATTAGCTTGTTCGTTTGCTTATTAGCTCCCCCTTGTGTTTTCAACCCCTGTGAAGTCTCCCTTGCCCTTCGTGTGTTTCATGTCTGTTGTCTTATGTTGTCATGTGTGCCTCTCATTATGTTTCCTGTTTTATTGTGAAGAGGTCTGGTGTTTCTGGGTTCATCGTGTTCAGTTTTACTCTTCCACTGTGACGTCGTTATGTTCATGTGTCAGCTGTTTCCCCATGTGTTGCCACTTTGCTCATTATCCTCCTGTGTCTATTTAGTCCGTGTGCTTTCAGTCATTCTTTGTCATGTCGTCTGCTCATCCATGTCTCATCTCCAGGTATCTCTGTCAGTTCACTATGCTTAAGGTTTTTCATGTTTAGTTTTAGTTCACCCAGTTTAGGTTAGTGTTTAGTGTTCACCAATGCCCTCTTGTTTGTACCCTCGTTGCTAGCCTCAATAAACGGCTTGTTTTTGTTAATCCACGCCACGTTTTTGGTCTGCGTTTGAGTCCTCTTTTGCAACACTTACAGTCTGCCCTAGCCAGACTGTGACAGGACGACCTGACCCTACTATGGACTCAGCAGACCGCGAGCTCTATGAGCGTCGGGAGGCAGCCTTCGCCCAACTGGAGGAAGAGCTCCGCTGGAAGCTGTGGCGTGCCCCCGACTACGAGCGCATTTTCCACGGGACTCGGCTAGCTCTCGGAGGTCCCAAGAGCTGCCGAAAGTCCCCGCCTGTTGCGCTGCCTGCATCCAAGCCTCGCCCACTTCCGGTGGGAGTCCTCCGTGTGGCTTCAGGCGCTCACACTCCAGCCTCGGTGTCACCGTTCTGTGCACCAGAGGCTCAGTCGCTCGCTCCGCCAGCTTCCTCGGTTCAAAGGAAGCGGCGCACCCGCCGCCATAAACTGGAGATTGCTGAGCAACTCACGGTGGTAAGTGACAATAACTCTTATTCTCACGTCCCGTCTGACATTAACAGTAACAAGCTCACCTCTGATCCGTGGGGAACTTCCCTTATGGATGATGACATGGACTGGGAACAGTTATTTTGCTTTGCTCCCTCTGAGCAGGGAGAGATTAAAGACAATAACCGCTCACCTAAGTCTGCACATGCAGTTAAAGGAAAAACTGTGAACACTTCTACCAGGTCTAACACACTCAGTTCAGATCCCGTCTGTTCAGGTTTTGTCAGGTCTGGTTCAGTCATCCCCGAGTCAGCTCACTCTAGAACTGTTAACCCAAGGACTTCGAAGCCTGTTAATACTAAGATTGTGAGACGTGGTGGGAAGGATGGCGGATTCATTTTTGCTAGGTCTATTTTTGTCGACCCAATACATGTTGACCCTGAGCCTGCCGATTCTGAGACTGTTTTTTCTGAGCCTGCTCCTTTTCCTGCTCATGTTCCTCCTCCCGGGGCAGCTCGGGCCCAGCTTACCTCTGCACCCGTACCCTGGGGGACGCTGAGGCCCAGTTGGTCCCTGCTCTGGTTTCCAGGCCGGCTGAGGCTCTGTCCATTTCTGCACCCGTACCAGCTCCTCGGGTGGGAAGGGCAGTTGCCCGGCCGTTGCCGGTGCCTGTCCCGGCTTCCGGGGTGAGGGGGGCTGTGAACCAGTCCACCCCTGCACCCATGCCGGTCCCCAGGGTGAGGTCAGTCAGGATACAGCCCGTCTCCGCACCCGTACCTACTCCTCGGGTGGGAGTGGCTAGTGTCCGGCAGGTGCCTGCACCCGTTCCTGTTTCTACTGAAGGCTCTGTCTGGTGCCAGCCCTTAAGGGGGGGGGGGGGGGGGGGTACTGTCACGGTCCTGGGTCCCTTGACCCAGCATTTTTAGTTCCTTGTGATGTTTGTAATATTGTACTTGTGTGAGTTATTCTATGGTTTCTAGTTTCGATCCCTTGCCCTTCATGTTTCTCTGTGTCCCCTCTGTTCTGTGTAAGTCTGTGTCGGCATGTTTGAGTTCCCCTCTGTCCCTCGGTTCTTAGAGTCCTCTGCCTTATGGTTTATGTCTCTGTTTCTTAGTTGCTTTCTCCACTGTGCCAAGCTTGCGTCTCTGTATGATACTTCCTGTTTTACTTTGATGGTCCGTGTCTTATGTGAATGTGTCCTGCTTTGCTCGTCTCGTCCAGCCTGATTACTCCCAGCTGTGCTCTCCTACTGTGTCTCATTCCCTCGTTATCCCTCTGTGTATTTAAGCCCTGTGTTTCTCTTTGTCAGTGTCGTAAATTCCCTCATGCTGTGTGTGATGCTCTCCGTGTTTCCTGGTATACTTTATGATTAGCTTTCCCAGTTTAGTTTTGTATTGCCTGTGTTCTATTTTTCCAGCAATTAAAGCTGTGCTTTTGAGTTCAAGTTCTGTCCCCGTGAGTTTGCGTTTGGGTCCTCTCCTGCCTGCCACACAGCCGAAACATGACAATCACTTTCTCACTTTACTATAGTAAGAGCACTCCTGTCCATAGTTTACATGCATGTGGAACGTAAACACAGTGAGGCCGTTAAACAGATAGTGGGAGTCCTGCTTATCAGGGATGTAAATCCTTAGGTGATGCCAAAGCAGAAAACAAGGTCATAATTCTCTCTGAGGGAGGAGGTATTGCTCCACGTGAGAGGGGCCAACATGTAAGAGTTTGTGAATGTTCTTTGTCTGTGTCTCTGTATATATGATGTAAGGGCGGTGGCCACAATTCAGAGATGGTCCTGGTGTTTCACTGGGATGCTCTCTCCATATTGCAATATGTTTATTAAACCCACTTCAAATCAAGCTCACTGGGTGTTTTGCAGGTAATTGTTAAATTTTCCATAACAATTTGCCGTTGTCAGGCAGGATTCCTCCGGTGAGTTTCGCTGAACTACGGGCACACAGTGACTGGCCATCAGCAGCAGGACCAGACGGCATCCCAGGTCGTATCCTAAGAGACTGCGCATACCAGCTAGCTCCTGTGTTCACTGAGATATTCAACATCTCTTTATCTCAGTCGGTGATCCCCACATGCTTCAAAGAGTCCATCATTGTTCCTGTCCCGAAGAAACCCCACCCTGCTTCTCTCAATGACTATCGCCCTGTAGCCCTCACCTCAGTAGTGATGAAGTGCTTTGAACGCCTGGTCAGAGACTTCATCATTTCTTCACTACCAGACACACTGGACCCACTACAGTTCGCTTACCGTCCAAATCGTTCCACAGACGATGCCATCTCTCATCTCCTCCACACATCACTCACTCACTTGGACACTAGAAGGGGGAATTATGTTAAAATGCTCTTCATAGACTACAGCTCTGCATTTAACACCATAATTCCCTCCACACTCACCACCAAGCTGGAGCATCTGGGACTCAGCTCATCTATGTGTCAGTGGATCTCCAACTTCCTAACTGGCAGACCACAGGCAGTAAGGATGGGCGGACATGTCTCAGCCTCCACCACTCTCAGCACTGGAGCCCCCCAGGGGTGTGTTCTGAGCCCCCTGCTGTACTCTCTGTACACATATGACTGCGTGGCCACTACCAGCTCCACCACCATCATCAAGTTTGCTGACGACACCGTCGTGGTGGGCCTGATCTCTGATAACAACGAGACGGCCTACCTGAAGGAGATTAGGAATCTGGAGAACTGGTGCCAGAGGAACAACCTCCTTCTAAACATCAGTAAGACAAAGGAGCTGATAGTGGACTTCAGCACTAAGCAGGAGAGGAACTACCAGACCCCCGTTATCAACGAGTGCCCAGTGGAGAGAGTGGACAGCTTCAAATACCTCGGAGTTCACATCACGCAGGACCTGTCATGGTCCTGTCACATCAACTCCGTGGTGAAAAAGGCCCGACAGCGTCTCTACCACCTCAGACGCTTGAGAGACTTCCAACTGCCCTCCAAGGTGCTCAGGAACTTTTACTCGTGCACCATAGAGAGCATCCTGACGGGAAA